CAAGTGCAACAAGGAAAAGTTACATCTTGCAACCACACGCTGTGTACTTAATAAAATTGTTAACTTTTATTTAAAGATTGCCTCAGCTCCGTCTATTCTGAGTCCAAAGTGCAATTTCTCACAATATTACAACTTACCTCACGTGGTGGCAGAAACGTAGGGAAAAGTAACCAAATAAATCTACATTCTTCTCTCCAGTCACGCTACAGTATATACAGTGTAATTATTACTAAGTTATTACTTTCTTAATAAAGGAGGAGGTGCAATTGAACAGCCTCCCTTCTAACTTGATGGTAAATTTGGTTCCTAATCGGCAACCTCCATTGCAAGTCGGCTAAGTCTTTTTAAAATTGGGAACTGGGGAAAAATCTCCTGAATACTGGTTCCTTTCAAATTGGTGGCAACAATAAATCATCCCCCAGCTCCCCTGCTTCTTTTCAAATTGGTGGCAGACGACGGGATACGATTAACAACTGATTGAGTGCCTTAAGACTACTTTGAGAATAATTTGTGAGGTAAAAGTTATTGAAATATGGCTACCAGATGACAGAAAAAACTTGTTGAGGAAACAATGGGAGACCAAGAAGGAAGTTTGGGCTCTGAAGCAGAAACAGAGCCAGTGTCTGTGTCAGAAATGGCACAGACTAGAGATGAAACGATTGGAAATAGAGGCAAAACAAAGGGAAAGAGAGTTTGAGGAAAGACAAAAAGAGAGAGAACAGGAGATAGAATTGAGGAGAATGGAAATTGAACTGCAAAAGCAAAAAATTAGCCCACCACCCCCCCTCACTTCCTCTGAGGATGCTTGCCATAGATGCAGGCGAAACGTCAGGAGAAATGCCTCTAGAACATGGCCCTATAGCTCGAAAAAACCTACAAGAACCTAGTATTTCCTAAATTTACTAAGGATGACGATATAGAGAAGTTTCTAACCTTGTTTGAGCGATGTTGTAAAGATTTTGGAGTTGCTGAGGAAAAATGGATGACGTACTTAAGGCCTCAAATAAGTGGAAAGCTCTTAGAAATATATGGAGAAATGCCTGAGGAGTCCTATGGGGATTATGATTTATTTAAGAGACAGGTTCAACAGAAATTTCAATTAACACCTGAATTTTACAGATTCAAGTTCAGGACTCTGAAAAGAGATAAGAACCAAAGTTTCGCTCAGGTGGCCTCTAGATTGTCTCAACTGTTCGATAGTTGGCTAAGGACGTCTGAGGTGGAAAATTACCAACAACTGAGAGAACTTTTAAAATTGGAACAATTTTTCCAATTGATACCTTCCGATTTTCGGTGGCTGGTACAGGATCGAAAGCCATCCACTGTAGTAGAGGCAGCGGTTATGGTAGATCAATTAATTACCCTAAAAGAAGGATTCAAAAGGGAAGATCTGCCAAATGATAAAAGGACAAACAGGCAGCCATTTTACCAACATCAAACGCGCCCACAACAAGGAAAAGGTCCTGCAATAGAAAACCCCTCCTGGAGGAGGCAGAGTGTAACAAGTCAAACTGCTCCTGAGGGAAAAATTAGGTGTTTTCAGTGTGGAAAGTGGGATCATATAAGGTATCAATGTCCCCTTTTAAGAAAAGAAAAGACAACCCTCTTCGTTAATAAAGTAAAAGAAACAAAGAAAACAGAACCAAATACTGTGTCAAAGGAGAGTTCGGAAACGGTGCCTCAAGAGAAACAATGTTTGTTCATTTTGTCAAACACCGCAACTGAGGATTACTTAGAATCCATTTCCATTGACAACAAAGACATGAGAGGGTGGCGGGACACAGGATCTGATGTGTGTATTATACATCCAGATATAATACCTCAGAAATTTCAGCATCCTACCTCTGAAATAAGATTAAAAGGCTTGGGACCTGCAATACCAACAGCAGTAGTGTCTTTGCCAATAGAATATGGAGGTTGGAAGGGTATGTGGGATTTTGCAGTCAGTCCAGACATACCATACAGGTGTTTAATTGGAAATGATCTGGCTAAAAAGATTGGAAAGTGGAGAATGATGTGTGAGGAGGAAGAATATAACAGCAAAAGCCCTGATCAAAAAGCCATGTGTTTCGCCATACAACAGGAGGGGGATGAGAATCCAGAATCCAGCACTATGGTTGCTGAGCTTATTAAGAAGACAGGAGGAGTCAGAGAAATTCAACAGGAACAAAGAGCAGATGAATTTCTAAAACCTTTGTTCGCTTTGGCTCAAAACCTCACAGTATCAGCAAAAGGGCAGCCCTCCAAGTTTGTGTTAAAGAATGGTGTCTTGTATAGAGAAACCAGAAACATGAAGTCAACAGAAGGATCAATGACATGTAATCAGATTGTAGTGCCTCAAAGTTTTAGAGAACAGCTGATGAGGGCGACACACGAGAACCCTCACGGTGGTCATCTGGGCGTGAGGAAAACCACAAAGAGGATCACTAAAAACTTTTATTGGCCTGGCATGTTCCAGAAGATCAAAGAGTTTTGCCAGTCTTGTGATATCTGCCAAAGATTGAGTACTGGAAGGGATAAAATTAAAGCTCCTATGATCCCTATGCCGGTAATTGCAGAACCATTTTACAGAGTGGGCATTGACATAGTTGGTCCTCTTTGTAAGCCAAGCAGACGTGGTTACAGATACATTCTAACCATGATTGACTACGCCACAAGATATCCAGAGGCTGTAGCTCTAACTAACATTGAGACAACAACGATTGCAAATGCACTGTTATCCATTTGGGGAAGAACTGGTTATCCTAGAGAATTGGTTTCTGATTTGGGAACTCAATTTACTTCCAGACTTATGTCAAAATTGCTTGAGTTATGTGGAATCAGACACCTGACTTCAACAGCTTATCACCCACAGACAAATGGACTAGTTGAAAATCTGAACAAGACTTTAGTCAAAATGATAAAGTCTTACAGTCAAAAGAAGCCATACGACTGGGACGTCAAAGTACAACAACTGTTATTCACCTACAGGACCGTCCCTCATGACAGTACTGGCTACAGTCCGCTTGAATTGCTATATGGAAGGAAAGCTCATGGTCCATTAGACCTGATAAAGGAATACTAGGAGGAAAATCCAGCAACAGATCCAGTTCCAGTGTCGGAGTACCTAAAGGATCTTCAATCAACAATGCAACTGGCTAGGGACATTGCACAAGAACATTTGCTTGCAGCTCAGCAAAGACAAAAAGA